TTTGCCAATAAAATGTAAAAAATGGAAAACAGAACATAAAAGCATCGAAATAGCATAAAAGACAGAAATACAAAATTTGAAATGTCGTGGTATGCCCTAAAGAAAAAGATAAAAGTTATAAAAGTAAAATCTTGCGATTTATTGAAGAAAAGCTAAGACAATGCAACTTGGTGAATAGATATAAATAATTGGGGGTTATTTTTACCGAAAAGTGTAATTTTGCCAATCACTCCACAGCGCTTAGTAAAGGTTGCGGGCGAGCACTCGACAGTATTATCACACAAAGATTTTGGTTTTAAGGCTTTTGATAAACTGTATCATAGTTGTGTCGTCCCTGTTTTAGACTTTTGTTCAAGCATCTGGGGATTTAAACAATATCAAGCATCAGACAATGTACAGCATCTGGCTATATACGTTATTTTCTCTAAGTTCACCGATTTGCACCGGTTACAGCACTTTCAGGAGATTTAGGATGGTTATATTGTCGTTACAGACGATGGCTAAATATGTTTAGATATTGGAATAGATTACAATTAATGGATGATAATCGACTGACCAAGAGAATACTTCATATAGACTATAGACTGTGTCAAAATTATTGGAGCAATGATATAAAAACTGTCATGGACATACTTGGCTTCCGAGACAATTTACCAATAGATCGTCTATTGTTGATATACAATTGGCAAGAAATAAATTCAACAATCATTTAACAGTTAAATGGCAATCAGCGTTACAATAATATCCAAAACTAAGAACATATAGACTACTCAAACAAGAGTTTGTAACTGAACAATATATTATCTTGAACTTACCGAAAAATGATCGATCGGCAAAAACTCAAATGCATTGCGGTATACTTCCGTGACGAATTGAAACTGGGAGGTACATAAATAAACCATTGCATGATAGAATATGTACACAGTGTTTTAGTAATGAAATTGAAAATAAAACGCATTTTTTACTCCATTGTACATTATACAGCAAACTACGCAGTGAAATATTTGGCAAATTATAATGCAGAAAAATGCGCCGTACGTTATCACTGATAATTTGTGCACCATACGTTATCATTTCAGAAAATGCCCCGATATTAATATTTACAGCGGTTGTCCTAGATAGAATGGGCATTGATACTTAGACGCGCATTTCAGATGACGTACGGGACAAAATATCATGAAACAAAATCATTTGTGCACGGAACATTGTGGAGAAAGTTATTATAGATACCTTTACACTAGAACATGACAAATTTCAGAGAAGAAAATGAAAAATTTACTTTTCGGCGGCTGCATCCGCCATCTTGTTTGTTTGGGTAACGAACTGCGTGCTTTTTACCCCGTATGATCTAAATTTGACCTAATGACCTACTTTTGCTTTTTTATTTATTATTTTCTATAATTTTCTTTTAAAAAATCATTCATAATGGTAAAATGACGTCATCTTTATCGTGCCATTGTACAGCACGCGACTCATCTGGAACCCCCCATGCCAGATGAAATTTCCGGCATGGGTAAAACTAACGGAAACGCCAGTCTGATATGCAAGAAAAAAATGCCGTGCTTTGTCTCCGTCCGGTGGTAGCTCATGTTTATTCTTTTAACTGACTTTATTTTCTGAATAGCGTTTTACTATTTCATATTTCGAAAAATAGTAACAGTAAACACTAAAGCTTCAATACAACCAAGTATTGTTATATGGACAGTGCGCCAAAATTGTGCTGGTCTTTTAACTTCGGAACACCTCGCCAATTATTCATGAAAAGAACTTATCTGGAGGTTGACGGAAATAGCCGATATGTTTCTTTTGTTCACAGATGCAATTCGCCATTTGGACAATTAAGCTGCAAAAAGACCCATTGCATGCTTCTTTTTAAAGAAGCAGTCTTGTATTTCATTAACCTGTAATTGTAGCACAAGTTCCAATTAATCAACTAGGTCGTATTGTATAATTCCGCCTTTGTTTATAAACCGAATACGTGGGTTTTAAGGCACGCATAATTACATTATCCCTTTGAAGACGCAAATTTGCGTAATGTGTAAATAATGAAATATACGTCCTTTTATTTTACAAACATGAAGATGAACATTATAATTTATTATATCATATAATATATGGTATTGATTCAAATCTGAGTGGATATCATATTTACATACTAAATTTTATATTTGATCGTGTAGAACACACTTGAGTTAGTTTATATTTCACAATTTAAACATAAAATTATCGGTTATTGCCTTAGTATTTGCTTTGTAAAATCATAACAGTTCATGATAACGAAGTGTTTCCCGTAATATGAATTGATTTTATGAACATTGTGTATAATCTATATCAAAATCGCTGACGGAGATCCATATGTACTTCACCATTATATGCTTGAACAAGTGCTACCTACAAAATCACTTTTTACCTCCGAAAGCGACGATGAACTAGACAACCATAGCCCCTGTGCTGTGTTCAACTTATGAAGTCATTAATTTAACGAAAAAGTAAACCCTACTTACATGTTTATATCCAACATACAAATATCACTTTTCTCCAACATTAATATATATCTTAAAACAATAACTAACCGCTTCCTATAATTTATCCAGAATTGTTACTGTCCTCATTTTAGTCTTATTTACGTACATGTACATGTCTTTACTACTTTTGCCTCTTTTATTGATTTTAAAAAGGCATATGATATATTGTTAGATAGAAATTGTTTATGGGAAAAGTTGCGGCATTTGGGACTGGGGGGTAGACTTGTTCAAGCCAAAATGTCATTGTATAAGGATGTTAAATATAGTGTACGTGTAAATGGTTTTGATTCCCACTTGTTTGATATTAAGTGTGGATTGAAACAAGGATGTCACCTGTTTCCAATGGTTGTTTTCATCTTGTATATAAATGATTTTCCAATAATAAAATGACTGTGAATTGTGAAAAGCCAAATATAACACACTTTCGAATAAATAGTATGCAACGATCTGATCATGTTTTTAGAATAAACTCAAATGTGTTAGAATATGTCCATAGTTATAAATATCTTGGTATTGTTTAAAATGAATTTTCGATTTTAAAGACATATCAAAGAATGTTGCTATGTCAGCCTCAAGGCCACTTGGTTTGATCATCTCAAAAAGTAAGATTTTTGGTGGTTTCAAGTAATCAACATTTACAAAATTGTATGATTCATTGGTGTTGCCCATTATTAACTACAGTGCACCTATTTGGGGAGATAGGAATTTTTCATGTATAAATGCTGTTCAATATAGAGCGTTATCCTTTTTTTTTTTTGGGGGGGGGGGGGTGGAAGGTACACTCCCAATGCAGCAATTAATGGGGAGATGGGCTGGAAACAACAAAAATGTTTAACTATGGGGTTCAGTCTTTAGACAGTATTTTAGAGTTTGTAATATACAAAATTACAGAAAAAACAAAATCATTTTCATATGGTCAAGGAATGTTAATGTTAGAAATAGTTTCAGTAGAATGTTGAAATTGTTGCAAGATCTTGATTATAAATACTTGATGATTGAACATATTGGGAATGCAAAGCCTGCAATATCCTTGATTGAGTCCAAATTGTTTGAGTTAGAAAAAGAAAAATGGAAAGATATGTTAGTTAGGGATCAGTCTGTTAGATGAAATTGTGGTAACAAACTCAGAACATATAGATTGTTTAATTCAGATTTTGAAACTGAAAATACCTTTTTAAGAATATACCCTTTCAATATAAATCTGCATATACTAAATTTAGATGTGGTGTAGCTCCTCTTAGATTTGAGACGGGAAGATATGAAAACTTACCTTTAGATAAAAGATGCGGTTTTAACTGCGAATGTGTTGTTGAGGATGAAAAACATGTTCTCTTGTATTGCCCTTTATATGATGAAGTCAGGGTTTTTCTGTCTTAGCTTAAACTGATATATCAGATGATAATATATCAGACAATGATGAACTAATTTTGACTCTTAGTAATGAAAAATTAATGTGTGTTGCTGGCAAAACCTGCCATAACATTTTAAAAGATGGGGGAAAAGCCCTTTTTTATTTCTATCAAGCCGCCAAAGGGCATTTTTTACAAAATTTTTTTTCTTTTAAAAAATCTTATTTTAGGTATATACGTATATGTAAGATAGATTTGAGTGTGCACATTTAAATTGTGAAATATACATTGTATTGCATAAGGTAAATGCACAAATTCTAGTCAATCTTAATATTTTTAGATTTGTGCTAACTAATACATAGACAGTTTTAGGTTTTAGATGTTACAATGTACACGTGTTCTATATCAATATAAATATATAGTCTCTTACAAATCATTAATTGATTGGTCACTTATATGCAAATTGTAGATTAGATATGTAAAATGTGTATATATAATGTGAATGAGACTGAAATGAAATATTCTTATCTTATCTTATCTTGTATGTAAGTCCTCGTACTCCCGGTTTTCAATATATTAGGCCTTAAATTGTATAAGAATAACTAAACATTGGGATTTTTAATGAATAAACATTAGAAATTTCATCAAATCAAAATCATAATATTTCATATCGATTCATAATAAATGAGAAATGTTATGATTTTGATTGGATGAAATTTTAAATATTTATTCATAATATCATGAAATCATAATATTTCACATCTATTTTTTACCCAAATCTTTCCAATTTTTGTTTCCATAAAATTCATATGACTTTGATCATGCAAGTTATTGTGAGAAAAGATTAACGAAAGTTTGATATAGTTACATTTAGATTATTTTCCTTTACATAGCCTTTGATCATGGTTGTTAATTGTATCTTATATTTTATTTTATTTCAATATACAATACAATGTGATTGAATAATAAAAGACTATACAAACATTACAAACTGTTAAATAAAACTCAAAAAGTAAATATTCAAATATTACAAACTGTTAAATAAAAATTAAAGGGTAACATCTATTAATTCATAACTTACACTCAACAATGCCAGTTTTTTTGTCAATCAAAGGTCTGTAAAAATAAAAAATAAAAAGTGCGGTTTATTTCCAGTCTACAAAATTAAAGATGTGTGGTTTTTGTCCACTCTATAAAATCCATGTATGGGGTTTATCTACTCTTTACATTTTTTAGGTGTGGAGTTTTGTCCGTCTTCCATTTTTTGTGAACTCTATGAAAAGCCTAAAAAAGGTACGGGATATCTTAAAAAAACGCATTGTTTTCGATTGTTGGCACAAAATATTCTGCTTTTGCCAATTTAAATATTTCTATTTTAAATTAATGCTAAATTTGCATTTCTGACACGTGTCTGTAACTTCAAACTTTTAACAACATTTTTGTATTTAACTTGACTTGTTAAATATAGTTCCAGGTACCCATTATGGATATATAATTCGTCAATGTCACTTTACCAATATTACGTAAAAACATTCAAATATTTTAAAGTTGTGGTGTAAACACTGCCTTCACGATTATTTCTATTGGATGTTTTCAGCAGGAAGATCACGAAAGAGTTATGTGTTATAGGGATTGAAAATAGATTAAACAGAAACTTACATAATAACAACGACCGATATTTTGTTTTTAGTTTGGCAAAATATCTATTAGCCTCTTTTTAGATTGAATAACAAGGAAGTTTAGAATAGATGTTTAAAACCAATTTTAATTTACAATTTGTGAAAAGTACATGGAAAGTTACCCACATATCGACGATGAAGACGAACGTTCGCTTTATAATATTATTTTTGGTGATATTGTTACGCTGTGAGTAGTAATACAACCTTTTTTAATTTTAGATTATGATTTACTAAATGATGTTTAAATTTACAAAAAAAATCTTTTTATTACATAATTCATCGTTATGTACTGAAATGTAGCTATGATGATTGACAGTATACTGATATGTCAAATATAATTTCACTGCAGTGGCACTAGTCACATTTGATTGAGGGTGGTGGAAGCATAAAAAAACAATTATCTAAAGTATGTAAGGATACAAGCATAAGAAGTTAACAACTTGTTACTAACAGGGATGAGACATAGACATTCTTACATCGTATTTCAAGTTATAAATATAAATATGTTGCACATGGATGCACAATATGTATTATGTGTACCTATTTTACTCATTTTATTGCTTATGTTGAACACAATTTGATTTTGATATTTATTTTAGGCAAGTGCGCAGTAGGAGCTTGTGAAACTGGCTCTTGGGGAGATAACTGCGATAAAAAATGCCCGACAAATTGTGACAGGTCATGTGACAAGTTAAATGGTATCTGCACTCGTTGTCACAGAGGATTTTGGGATAGTTATTGTAACAACACCTGCAGTGTTTATTGCAGTGGAAGCTGTTATAAAGATGACGGAAAATGTTATTCTTGCAGAAACAAATTGTGGGGTGACATATGTGATAGGCCTTGCATTGTTCACTGTACCAGTTGTGATAGATATAATGGGAAGTGTCGTAATTGTGAATTGGGATTTTGGGGTGAATTTTGCAATAAGACTTGTGCTTCAACTTGTTATTCGTGTGATGAAAATAATGGACGTTGCGATTCTTGTAAAGGCTACAATTGGGGTCCTTATTGCAATAATACTTGCAATTTCCCGTGTAGGAGATGCGATATAAACTCTGGACAATGTGATTATTGTACATATGGACGCTGGGGTACATTCTGTAATAACACTTGTCGTGTTGGTTGCTCTAATACATGCTCAAGATTTACTGGATATTGCGACTCGTGTAATAATGGATATTGGGGAACCAATTGCAATAAAACATGCAGTAAAAATTGTCAGAGTTGTTATAGAAGCAATGGTGCCTGTTCGATTTGTAAAAATGGTTACTGGGGTATATCATGTAAAAATAAATGTGTCGGGAGTTGTTCGTCAAATGCATGCGACAAAGATTCGGGGGAATGCAGAAGTTGTCCAACTGGTAAATGGGGAAGCTACTGTGAAAATTTGTGCAGGAAATCGTGCTCCTGGAACTGTAAAAAACAGACAGGCGAATGTGCATGTAAAGCTGGATACTGGGGTACAGATTGCTTGAACATGTGCAATGAATCAAATTGTGATGTATGCTCACAAGCAGATGGATTGTGTACAAGATGCAAGCCTGGCTTTTGGGGCGTTAGGTGCGACTTTAAATGTAAGTCAGGTACATGCCTTCAATGCTATATCGACAGTGGATTATGCAGTGTTTGTCGACTTGGACGATTTGGAACACTTTGTAAGAATATATGCAGACATGGATGTCCTTGTTGCAGCATCTCTTCTGGAGCATGCTCCTTTAGTTGCCCGGGTACAATTGGTAAGTATATTATGAAATCACAATATATAAACTCAATCAACTTTCGTTATTAATGTTTCAATTGCATAAACTTTATTTAAATATTCCACACTTTACGATTAATGTGCATATTGTTTATCTATTACATGTATTATTTGTATGAAAATATTCATGATCTTGGTTAAAACGTGTTTCTTTATATCTCAGACGCGGTTGGCAATAAATTGACAGTCAGTGAGGAGCCGGCACAAGGAATAAGTTACATAACAGTTATAATCTCTGTGGTTACTAGTTTGGTTGTTGTTGTAACAGGAGTTGGAACATTTATCTTCCTTAAATCTAGATTCAGGTAAATAACATTGAAAGATTAAATAAAGGCCATAAACATTCTACAAATATATTAACCTGGTTTTATATAGTTTAAAAATGTTTTGGGTATACTACATAATATTTAAATATTGTATTTTGACATCAAAAGCACAATCAGGTTTTTGCTCATTAACTTTGTTATTTTCAAGATTTTGCTGAATTTCTTCAAGCTTTATAATAAATTATCATTGAGGTTCTTATATGACATCTAGTTTTGTTTTGTTCCATAATAAAAACATCAAATATTTTACATTGACCATAATATACAACATGCTTCTGTCTTTTTTAGGCAAACAAAACGCAAGAAAAGTGCGGACATGCAAGGTATATTTTCTTAATAGCTATTGAATTTCCATTTATTATCCTGTTTACAATTTACATTGATTAATATTTTACTGACCTTTATTTCACACTAGCACTGAATGTAATAAAATACTCTTTAGCTTTTATACCCTTATGTATATAATTTAAGAGTAGATATCCCATTCAAAGAAAATCTGACCCCTCATATTTGCCAATATGTTTTACAGTCGAACATTCTATAATTATACCATTAAACATTTAGGTTTGGTAGTTCTTACAAGTTTACTTGAAAGTAAAATGTTATAACTTCTTTGTGAATCATAGATTCCAATTTTTCTCATTTCCATTAAAGTGGGCGTTCGGGAAAGGTTAAACGATGCGTTAACAAGGGCAGCTTTGCAAACGTCAATGATTGCTTTGTCTGGTATTACCATCTTTTTATTTCACATACATAAGAACTATTTATTCCAATCAGTATGATACTTTAAATGGATAGATAGCACCGATAACATAATAATACATCATTGTTGCACTCAGTTTCAAAAGCGTTATATTTGATATACAGCTTTCTTTTTATTTTTTTGAAGGTTCTTTATCAGAGATGTCTGGTACACCCACTACACAAACATCTCAAGGTACAAGAAATGAGATGAACATCGATGTTGCGGAGCCTGTTAACACATCAGATGATCATACTTACGAGAAACTAAAATAATAAAGAATGTTATGTAGAACCAGTTTTACTGCACAAAGTACCACTTGATGTGCAAAAAAGGTTCTGAAGAATTTTTTATCATATCACATATCAATCTTAACAAAATATGCTTGGTTTAAAAATTCGGAAACAACAACACAATTGCTTTGTTGAAATGTTTAAAAAGAAATTTTATAAGATTGTTTGATAGATATTGTAAAAATGCCTTAGTGGTTGATGTAAAAAATAACAGGAATCTGAACATTTTGCCGGGACATAACATAATGGGACATGCAACTATCGACCAGATAAGCTCAAGTGTGTACATCAAATATACACACGACGTTAGTATTTGAAGTGAAAACGCTGAAACATTTTCATACTTACTGATAATACCATATCAATGCAAAAGGTTGGCTTATAATAGTTGGCTTATAATTGTTGCTTGTCACGCTCAAAAAATATTCTTTTGCAATGATCGTGGCGCTTGCGCCTGATTGGATAAGAAGATAACGAGATGCCTATCTCAGTTCGATTGTTTCGTTGTATTATGTCTCAGATATTCAACTTATCAACTGATGATCTTAATCAATTAATAATTTATTACTAAAAAATTATTTTCCCTAACGTGTGTTTCAATCAAATTAAAATCGTGTACTTATAAACATTTTTTATAATTCGTACAATTAAGTGTATCAGTATATATACTGTTTGAATTTTTGTTCTTCTAGAAGTTTTTTTCCTGAAATTTGATCGTTTTTTTCAATAGCCTGTATTCCATACCTAAGATTAGATACTATTATGCTTTCATAGATAAATATTCTATATTTCCAAAAAAGGAACATTGCACAAGTGGTTCAGCTTTTTAAATATGCTTTACATTTTCAGCCAAAATTTTTTTGTATCATTCATAACACATACACATTTGAGTGTAACAGTAGGATAAAGAGTGAGTCACCAGTTCACCAGTTCATTTATTTCTTAATATAAGTAATATTAGATGATGTATCAAAACTATAAATTTGTTCAACATTATTTGTTATAGGAGCTTCTCTTAGAAATAAACACATGGAGCATTTCAGCAACCGTATTCATGATATTTATAACATGTACTTGTACTTGAATTAATCATAGTTAAATTTAAATGTAGATATGTAGTTATCTATATATTAGTGCAAAAATAAAACATTAAAATAAATGCGTTTGGTCTACTGTTCAACATATCATGTCATTCTCGTCGGGTGTGGTGTTAAGTTAATGATATATCAAAATATATAATACTGAACGTTTGAAACGTAGCTTTTCATTGGATAATCATGACGTTTGTACAGTTTTATATTCACGACTGCTGAAAAACAACTCTTTTTTTCTCTCTCATAAATAAAGTTTGCTCTATGTTAGATTCGTTTCCTGACAGGTTATATGGCCGTATATAAACGGTATTGGACAATATAACTCTCGCCTAGAAATATTTAAAGTACTTTTGAATAATCACAATATATTTGTACCTTAAAGTGTATATAAAGCTATACTTGTATATCTGATACTAAATTATTGTTTGAATTTTAAAGCAGAATACTGTCAAAATGCTTGTATGAAATAAATATGGTTATTAATTGCCTTAAGGCGAGTTGTGCATGGACAAAATCATTGATAAACGGATAAAACCCTACTTAAAATAGCAAAATAATGTTTTTTTCCGGAACAATATATTTTATTTACGTAGATTATTCTTGTGTGTTAAATAACAGAGACATTCTATACAACTTTTTCGGGAATCAACCATTTTATAATGCAACCAATATAATTTTACTGTAGAAAATTTTTATAAAAATATCTCATAAGATATAGCTTTATACCCTTTAACCAAATTTGTTATATATTTTTTCAAAGCAATTTGAATTTTTATCATCGGAAGAAAAAGAAGACGTTCATAGTCTCCGTATTTAAATCAATCCATAGTTCAAGTTTCATAAACGTATTTTCAGTACTCTTTGAATAATCACGGGATCCAGTTTAAGACGAGACAGTATTTATGTGGTTACGAGATCTACGTTGCCCTCTCTAATGTTCTCTTTGGCTACATAATAGAAATAAGTCACATAAAATCTGACAGAATGGATGACATACCTTTTGTTCTTGTAGCCGCATTATTCTTGTAAGTGTGGACGGAGAGAGGATGGACATATAAGCGAACAGAGACAGAGGGTAAACCTCAATTTCCAATTAGTTAATGAGAGAAATAAAATGTTTAATGCTAATTTAAAAGATAAACTGACTTGTGTTACATGACTGTCATTCTGTCAAAGACAGTGCTTTTCACAAACAGTTTCGGCTGGATATTATAGTGTATTTAACGTTTTTGATTATAACTGTGTGAATTGTGCTTAAAAAATAGTAAAAAAAGCAATCTGACAAATGAAAAGTAAGACTAGAGCGCGAAAATCGGAGACTTGCGAGAAAACCTGATTATCGCCGGAGCACATAAAGGATTGTAGATCTGAATCTGACTATTGTCTATTTTCGGAGCTTCCTATTCGTTGTTAATATATTTGTGGCCTAAATAAAAGCCTATACAGGGACTGACAAAATTTGAATGAATTTTTCTAACTAAGTTTCCCTGAATTTTACTTTGTTGAGAATGTTTAGTGCCAGAAAATCCTAAGTCGAACAGGCTTTACAAAGAGAAAATGAAGACGTGCTAGTCAACAGCATAAAGTAGGTATTGAATGTTCGAATTTTGAGACCTGAACGCTACATGGACATTATTTCAACTATGCTGAGAATCTTGAACGAACAGTTCCATAATATTTTGAACAAACCATTGTTTTCTGTTTTCATCGCCAGAAAGTAAAACGAGGTTACGATATGTAAAGAAAGGCGTCGATAATTAACAATAATGGTACAGTCTAAAATTCTACCTGTATAAATGCTTGAATCTAACCGATGAAATTACAATTGAAATTACAATAATTACCTCAGTGTTACTTCATACGAAAATTTGATAAATCGGCACGCGTACATAATACTATTGTTTACTTATTAATGAAAATTATTATGTACACATCATATGCCGACATATTGATTAGCGGAATACTTTCAGTTTTACTTCTCGCTATCAGATGCAAGCCACCACTAGTTACACGTCAGTGATTAGCTTAAACCGCTTTAATGCGGATAAATCATTACACACCTACTGTACCTGTAGGCAGGGATAATGGCTAATTGTTGATGCGAAATTCTTGCATCGGCAATTATTGATTGACACATGCATCCATCGGAAATTATAACGTGTCAAAAATGACATGCAAGCTGATTTTATGACGGATCAAACAAGTGCATTTCAAAAATTTTACGTGTCAGGGGTCAAACGAACACCCTGGTACAATGATTTCAATTGATGCTTTTCAACTGTTACTAAACTCTCTTTTTTCTCGTCTGGAAAATGACAACAATCGGTATCCGTACTTTCTTCAGCCAACATGGCAATTCATCTCTTAACAAGGGCAACATTGTCACAATATACGCCCGTCACAGAAGTTTTTGACAGAGATGTGGGCATAAACGATAAGCATATAGTCGACATTCTCTGGGCTATATCCAGAAAATATCTGGAAATATTATCATCTCTAGTGATGTTTACTCTGAATTTTGACCCCTATATGTGACATTGACCCTGGCCGCAGGGACCTAAATTTTGCATGCGACACTCCACCTCACAAAAGTGAACATTTATGCCAAGTTATATTGAAATCCCTCTATGCATGTAGAAATATTGCTCCGGACAAGTGTTTCTATGACCTCTAAGTGTGACCTTGACATTTGACCTTGAGGCCTGGTTCATGCGCACAACACGGCTTCTTTTAGTGGTGAGCATTTGTATGAAGTTTCATTAGAATCCCTCCATATGTGTAGGAGGTATGCTCTGGACAAAATCTTTAAATTTTTATCATCTTAAGTAACCTTGACAATCATCTTTAGTGATCTTGACCTCGCATATATTAATCAAAATTACATGTTTCAAACCAGTAGTCATGATAATGACCATTTGTGTTTCAATCCCTCAATAAATGATGACTAAATGGTCCTAATACACATTGTCATATTTTTATCTGAACTTTGACCCCTACATATGCACGTAGGGCACAAAATGGGCGCTACATATGTATGTGTGACCTTGATCGTAGGGACCATAATTTTGCACGTGACACTAGGCCTCACAATAGTGAACATTTGTGCCAAGTTATATTGAAATCCCTTTATCCATGTAGAAGTTTTGCTCCGGACAAGCGTTTTTCAATGACCTCTTAGTGCGACCTTGACCTTTAACCTAAAGGCCTGGTTCATGCGCGTGAAACGGCTTCTCATAGTGGTTAACAAAGCTGCCCGCCCAGCCGCCCCCAAGGGGAAACTATAATACGACCTGTTTTTGAAACGGGCGTATAAAAGTAATCATACGACGACAATTGTTGTTTCTTGGTTAAAATCCTCGTTTAAACATAAAATAACATATGCATTTTCAACTTTCATACAATTTTAAGAGCTGTGCCGCTAGACAATAGTGTGTCTTGGCTAGCCATACATGACTCACTTATGCCTAGAACTTTTTCCTAGCCATACTGGCCCGTACGGCTAGCCACTTCCTTATTCAAATGCTTGGACCGGGGACCAACTTTAAAGACCATGGGTAGTCTCACGACGTTGGTTAAGGCCTAAAAAGCGTTGTCGTTCCTACCTTGCAAAATCTTCCTACCCTAATGATTTTTAGGCAAAACAGTTCTTTGGGGTTTTTTACTAAAACAAAATAGATCTACAATAATTTTGGTAGTTCTGGCTTCCAAAACTTTATAAGCCGCTATTTAACATTTTTGTTTTTCATCTGATGCGGCATGTCATAGTATATAAACGGGTACGCTGAAGACCATAAGCTATAATTTTGGCGACAGTTCGCCTCTTCCGGATTCCCCTCGATAAACAGTCTCTCCCCCCCCCCCCAAAAAAAAAAAGAATCTATTATTCCTTTGAACTGCATCAGATTAATTGTTCCTCAGGTGTAAAATATTTATTGTTTGCATTTTGCTAATAAAACCAACCAGTTCTGAATTGCAGTCCAAACTAACCAAAATCAATGCAGGAAACTTTAAAAGTGTCATCCGTCTCAATGGGGCTGCCATTCTTTTCTTGGCTATATTCCGTATTGAACGGTACTGTGTCGGCGAGTTCGTTCAGGACGATTTGTTAGCGTTTTATAGTCCGGATAGGCGCTTTAATAAGTGCGCGAGCGCTTCGCCTTAAAAGACAGGCATGTCTTCAAATTCTTTTCACTTTTCACTAGCAGCCATATTCAAACTAAAAGGAACTGACTACATATATATTTATTCATACTGTATATAAATACATGGAGCTAGATGTATATATCTGTGATTTAGCTCCATGAACTCGAACTGCACGACTGGAGCTGTACAGCCTGTACCTGTTTTTTTCGCCGATAATTACTTTTTTTATTCATTATCATACATAAATCGGTGTGGAAAGATGCATTAGACCTTTTAAAGTTCATCCCGTTGGGAAAAAGGCAAGAATTAACATTTTATCATCCAAGCGCCTTGTCCGGTATATACCAGAATACGGTATTTAGTGTGGGCTCCAATATCCTAGTTTAGTTTAATAATATTTTATTGTATAACTATACACACAATATACAATTTCATAATTTTACAGACATAATCAAGTGTACATACAAAAGGGTTGGGCCAAAAGTTCTAACAACATTATCGTGGGCCCTTCCCTGAGGTCAGTCAGAAATAAGTTTATACTATTTGAATAAAGATGTGTGATATCAAATAATTATCACTTTCAGTTTTAAGTAATTTTCAGGAACTAATTTTCATGAACTAATTTAAAAAATGTTTTATATGTAAATATAAATTAATCAAATGAACATTTAACAGAGAAAAATATATATATATATATATATAGAATAGAAATATAGATAAGCATTATAATAAATTTATGATACTAAGAGTGATTAGATTAAGTTATTTAAATATTTTAAATGTATAAAGTATAAGTTTCAAAAGTCAAAAGTGTTCCATTTAAAGTTATTTA